ACCGCGATGCGAAGGCGGCCAGGAGGCTGAAGATGCTCAACGGCGGGAAGGCGGTAAGGGACAGGGACGGGAAGATTGTCGAGGCGGCTGCGTTTCAGAAGGGCGAGGACGAGACGAAGCCGGGGAGGGTGCAGCCGGATAGGCGCTGGTTCGGTGCGTATTTCTTTTGGCGGATATACTTTAGGTGCTGAGATCGTGTAGGCAATACCAGGGTTATTAGCCAGACGGCGCTCGACCACTTCCGTACCAGCTTGGCCGACAAGAAACACGACCCGTACTCTGTGCTGTTGCGCAGGAATAAACTGCCCATGCAGCTCCTCGACGACGCCGCCAACCCAAATTTGCGCAAGGTGCGTTTCTGCATCCTTCCCATATATATCGAACTGAATATAATGTGTATATAGCGCGCACACATCGTCGAGACCGAGCCCTTCGGCGACACCTTCGGCCCGAAAGCGCAACGCAAACGCGCCAGACTCGACGTCGGCACCTTCGAAGAGCTCTCCGCCCTCGGCGCCGCCGCAGCCGACGAAGCCGAGTCCGCGCGCGTCTCGCGCGAGCTCCAAGCCGCAGCCGCCGGCGAAGCGGCCGCCATCGCCGACGAGGCGACGCATGCAGATTACATGGAGCCGATATACATGAAGGGCACCTCGCGCAGGATCTACGGCGAGCTGTACAAGGTCATCGATTCGAGCGATGTGGTGCTGCATGTTATTGATGCGCGGGATCCGCTCGGGACGGTGTGTGAGAGCGTGCTGGATTATATTAGGAAGGAGAAGGCGCATAAGCAGGTCGTGCTTGTGATTAACAAGTGCGATCTGGTGCCGAACTGGGTCACTGTGCGTATATTTCCTTTCTTATCTAACCCTCGGCACTATACTGATGTATCTATGACTTTGTAGGCCCGGTACATCCAACACCTAACGCCCCGCTACCCGACGATCGCCTTCCACGCCTCGCCCAACCACTCGTTCGGCAAGGGCGCGCTCATCCAGCTCCTCCGCCAGTTCTCCCAGCTGCACTCGGACAAGAAGCAGATCTCCGTCGGGCTCGTCGGCTACCCGAACGTCGGCAAGAGCTCGGTGATCAACACGCTCAAGAGCAGCAAAGTGTGTACTGTGGCGCCTGTGCCCGGCGAGACGAAGGTATGTCTCTATTCAGCATATATACAGCGATGGATACTAACATCGTACTTCTACGTCAGGTCTGGCAATACATCACCCTCACGCGCAAAATCTACCTCATCGACTGCCCGGGCATCGTCCCCACCTCCGCCCGCAACGACTCGCACACCGCCACAGTCCTCAAGGGCGTCGTGCGCGTCGAAGCGCTCCCCACGCCGTCCGAGCACATCCCAGCCCTAATGGAGCGCGTCAAACCCTTATACCTCTCGCGGACGTACGGCGTGCCGCTGCCGGACGAGAACGATTCGTCGAAGGGATGGGAGCCGGAGGAGTTCTTGGATAAGCTCGCGAGGATGAAGGGGCGGCTGTTGAAAGGCGGCGAGCCGGACCTCGAGGCCGTCGCGAAGATCGTCCTGAGCGACTGGGTGCGCGGTCGGATTCCGTTCTTCGTGCCCCCGCCCGAGAGGCCCGCCGAGCTCAACGCGAAAGAGGAGAAGGAGCGGAAGAGGGCGGAGCTGAAGGGTAAGGGTAAGGGCAAGGCGGAGGAGAGGGTGCCGGGCGTGAAGCAGAACTTGGGGACGATTATGCAGAAGAACTCGTTTGTGGGCGAGGATGTGAGGGCTATTGAGGACTTTGGTGGGGATGAGGAGGAGGAGGCTGTTGGTGAAGACGATGAGGGCAAAGATGAGGAGAGCGAGGGCGCGGCTGGGGAGGTGGCTGAGGATGCTGCGCCGTTGACGTGGAACGACGTCTTCAGTGGTGACGACAACTCCGGAGCTGCAGCGCCAGAGTCAGCGGAGGTCAGTGTGGCTCAGGCGCCGTCATCCCCCTCGGAGCCAGAGGAGCAGATGGCAGACGAGGAATGGGCCGGCTTTGGCGAGTCAACGTCAGCGGCCGACCTCGACGGTACGCTCGATCGTCATAACCTGCGCGGTCTGCATATGCTCACTGTGACTGCAGATGCGTCAGATGCGGACGGTTCGGACGATGGCGATGGTGAGGTAGATACGCCGCGCGCGCCTGCTGCGAAAGAGGCACGCCGGACGACGAACAAAGTGCGTTGCTCCGATTCGCTGATCCATATCCGACCCGCTAACTTCTCCGCTCTCTCTTCTCCTTCTATCACCGCAATCACTTGTTCGATTCGCACTCGATCCGAGCAGAAAAAAGCGGAGAATTTCTACACGAGCGCGAACGTGAAGAACAAGAACCGCACCAAGGCGGCGCTGATGAAGTCGCTCGTGGGCAAGAAGGGCGCGCAGGACGCCGGCGCCGCAGGGTCTGGAGCCGGGCGGCGGAGGAAGCGTTGAGGAGTTTTTGTTCCGTTTCCCATCTCCCATCTCCCTCCTTATTCCGTTCGGGCTTTGTTGTAGTACCGTTTACTCTGTTACATCTATGCTGCGGGCTGGTTGTATGCGTGTGCTCGCACGGATCAGAGCAGATACAGATAGAAAAAAACATACCGAGGCGCGCGGATTGCCGGCACTGAATGAACCCAGAATCGCTCCCGCGTCGGCCGCGGCGCGTTCGACGGAGAAGTTGAACGCGGTCGGACACGCGCCTTGCTGACTCGAAGAAGGCTGGATGAAGGGCGCGGCACAGGCGCCAATGCAATTGAGCTAGGCGCAAACTCTGCTTCGCGGCGCCCGGCGGAACATGCACGTTTCGAACAGATCTCGCTGCGACTGGCTGAGATCGCGGTCGCCGGGGGAGGTCGACGTCGCTGGCCGATAATCGCCGTGAGAAGGCGAAATGGATAAAAGCGCGGCGGGCTCGGCGGCGGGTTTCTTCACCATTCACCACCATGTCCATCTCCAAGATCGTAGCTCGCCAGGTATGAGCTCGGCGTTGCCTGGTGTGATGTGCGGCTGATAGAGGCGTGCGACGCGCAGATCTTTGACTCTCGCGGTAACCCGACCGTCGAGGTTGATCTCTACACTGAGAAGGGTACGCGTCGGAGAACATCGCGGTAAAAAATAATGCTGACATTGTGTTACAGGCCGCTTCCGCGCCGCGGTGCCCTCTGGCGCGTCGACGGGTGTGCACGAGGCCGTCGAGCTCCGTGACGGCGACAAGGCCAACTACGTCGGCAAGGGTGCGATCTTTCCTCCATCGCCCGACATGTGACCATCTGACCATCCGCACAGGCGTCCTCAAGGCGGTCGCCAACGTCAACGACACGATCGCGCCCGAGCTCATCAAGGCCGGCCTCAAGGTCACCCAGCAAAAGGAGATCGACGACTTCCTGATCAAGCTCGACGGCACGCCCAACAAGGGCAAGCTCGGCGCCAACGCCATTCTCGGCGTCTCGATCGCCGTGGCCGATGCCGGCGCCGCTGAGAAGGGCGTGCCGCTCTACCAGCACCTGGCCGACCTCGCGGGCGTCAAGCCGCCGTACGTCCTGCCCGTGCCCGCGTTCAACGTCATCAACGGCGGCTCGCACGCCGGCAACAAGCTCGCGTTCCAGGAGTTCATGCTCCTCCCCACTGGCGCCACCACCTTCACCGAGGCCATGAAGATCGGCTCTGAGACGTACCACACGCTCAAGAAGGTCATCAGCGCCAAGTACGGCATTGACGGTACGTTTTGCGGAGTTTGGCATGGTGCGGACATAGAGATCTTACGCATCCTGTACAGCCGTCAACGTCGGCGACGAGGGTGGCTTTGCGCCCAACGTGTCCGGCGCCGACGAGTCGCTCGAGCTGCTCTCCGAGGCGATCAAGAAGGCCGGCTACGACGGCAAGGTCAAGATCGCGCTCGACGTCGCCTCGTCCGAGTTCTACAAGGACGGCAAGTACGACCTCGACTTCAAGAACCCCAACTCGGACCCGTCCAAGTGGATCTCCGGCAAGGAGCTCGCGGACCTCTACCTCGGCTACGTCGAGAAGTACCCGATCGTGTCGATCGAGGACCCGTTCGAGCAGGACGACTGGGAGGCGTGGACGCACTTCACCGCCAACTCGTCCATCCAGATTGTGGGTGACGATCTGACGGTCACGAACCCGCTCCGGATCAAGACGGCTATAGAGAAGAAGGCGTGCAACGGGCTGCTGCTCAAGGTTAACCAGATCGGTACCGTCTCGGAGTCGATCCAGGCGTACGTCCCTCCTCTTCTCTTGAAAACATAAGATATTAACTCCGATCTACAGCGCCCAGCTCTCGCAGTCCGACGGCTGGGGCGTCATGGTCTCCCACCGCTCCGGCGAGACCGAGAACACCTTCATCGCCGACCTCGTCGTCGCGCTCGGCGTCGGCCAGATCAAGACCGGCGCGCCCGCGCGCTCGGAGCGCATGGCCAAGTACAACCAGCTCCTGCGCATCGAGGAGGAGCTCGGCTCCAACTCGTCCTTCGCCGGCGCCAAGGGCCTCTCGGCCGGCCTCACCGCGCCCGAGCTCATCCGCAAGTAAACGTGTCTTTTCGCGCGTGCTTCACTTGTGAGTGAGCGTTGATTTTGGGGGAGGAAGACGGAAGGTTAAAATGAAGAACGCCCCGCTGAGAGCGCTGTAATGTAAATCATTTGCTGTACTTTTTTCGACATATAGACGTGCTTGCGGCGTGCTTTGACACGCTTTGTTGTACCATTCATCTTGCCGGGAGTCTCCTGCTCTAGTTCACGAGGTTACTGTGTACGAGACAGAGTTCTAGTGACGCGTCCTGACTGCAAATTCGAGATCGGTCGGCGTGGTGAGCGCCGGTGTCTGCATTTTGCTGCGCGATGGCGTGTAGGTTCGAAGCAGCGCTCAACGGCTGTGTTGTCTTCCTTTCAGGTATTCGCTACTTCTGTAGGTGCATGTCCACGATCATATCCATCTCAGCGGTCACCAGCCCATTGCCTCCCCCAAATAATCGAGCTGGGGCGGTAAACGCTACAGAAGATCATCATGCGAGCGGGAAGCCACATGTCATACTAACTCGTCGGATTCCCTGTGTGCGCTGTCATCCTCGTGCGTCGACTTCGGAGAGTCAATTGGCCAGCCGCCGAGTACTGGCACTGCTTCCAATACCTCAGCGCCTCAGCCTGTGCTGGAGCGGGACCGCATGCCACAAGCTTGTAAGACGGGCTTACAGACCGCGGCGCGAATATGACGCGCATCGCCGCGCCGTCCCAATATCCTTCATGTTTTCCTGCTCCTTCGTCTTCGAATCCTCGCTGCTCATCGAGGTT